GCTCTGCTTGTGTTGCAAATGTTACAATGCAGTCAGGATCGCTGCACGTGATTCTAAGGCGTTTTCTACCGCCCATTGCTGGATGATCGAGTAAACCGAGTAATCACATAGCATTTACATTGAAGACGTACTACAACAGCATGGTGTACAATGGAGGCCAATTGATACTACAATCACCGTCGTATAGTTACTGACGGCTACGATGATGTTCACGGCGATGAATGTGATTGGAGGGGTCGCTGGGAGGAGGAGGGTGAGGGCGGGCTGGGAGGAGGAAGGTGAGGGCGGGCTGGGAGGAGGAAGGTGAGGGCGGGCTGGGAGGAGGAGGGTGAGGGCGGGCTGGGAGGAGCAAGGGGTGGGCGGGCTTGGAGGAGGAGGGTGAGGGCGGGCTGGGAGGAGGAGGGTGAGGGCGGGCTGGGAGGAGGAAGGTGAGGGCGGGCTGGGAGGAGGAAGGTGAGGGCGGGATGGGAGGAGGAAGGTGAGGGCGGGCTGGGAGGAGGAAGGTGAGGGCGGGCTGGGAGGAGGAGGGTGAGGGCGGGCTGGGAGGAGGAGGGTGAGGGCGGGCTGGGAGGAGGAAGGTGTGGGCGGGCTGGGAGGAGGAGGGTGAGGGCGGGCTGGGAGGAGGAGGGTGAAGGCGGGCTGGGAGGAGGAAGGTGTGGGCGGGCTGGGAGGAGGAAGGTGTGATGGGATGGGAATGGGATGGGCGTGGGGAAAAGGAGTGAATGGGATGAGCAGAAGCGGATGGGGGAATGGGATGGGCGGGGAGAGATGGGATGAATGGGATGAGCAGAAGCAGATGGGGGAATGGGAAGGGCGGGGGGAGATGGGATGAATGGGATGGAGGAAGCGGACGGGGGAAATGGGATGAGCGGGGGAGGATGGGATGCTTGGGATGGGAGGAAACGGATGGAGGAAATGGGATGAGCGGGGGGACATGGGATGAATGGGATGGGGAGGAAACGGATGGGGGAAAAGGGATGAGCGGGGGGAGATGGGATGAATGGGATGAGAGGAAGCGGACGGGGGAAATGGGATGAGCGGGGGAAGATGGGAAGATTGGGATGGGAGGAAAGGGATGGGGGGAATGGGATGAGCGGGGGGAGATGGGATGAATGGGATGGTAGGACGGAATGGGGGAAAAGGGATGAGCGGGGGAAGATGGGATGAATGGGATGGGAGGAAACGGATGGGATGAATGGGATGGGAGGACGGAATGGGGGAAAAGGGATGAGCGGGGGAAGATGGGATGAATGGGATGGGAGGAAACGGATGGGGGGAATGGGATGAGCGGGGGAGAGATGGGATGAATGGGATGGGAGGAAACGGATGGGGGGAATGGGATGAGCGGGGGAGAGATGGGATGAATGGGATGGGAGGAAACGGATGGGGGGAATGGGATGAGCGGGGGAGAGATGGGATGAATGGGATGAGAGGAAGCGGATGGGGGAAATGGGATGAATGGGACGGGGAGGATACGGATGGGGGAAAAGGGATGAGCGGGGGGAGATGGGATGAATGGGATGGGAGGACGGAATGGGGGTAAAGGGATGAGCGGGGGGGGATGGGATGAATGGTATGGGAGAAAGCGGATGGGGGGAATGGGATGAGCGGGGGAGAGATGGGATGAATGGGATGGGAGGAAACGGATGGGGGGAATGGGATGAGCGGGGAAAAGATGGGATGAATGGGATGAGAGGAAGCGGATGGGGGGAATGGGATGAATGGGATGGGGAGGATACGGATGGGGGAAAAGGGATGAGCGGGGGGAGACGAAATGGGGAAAATGGGAATGGAATGAGCGGAAAGGCGAGGAGGTGGGATGGCGGAAAAGGGAGGAGGTGGGATGGCGGAAAGGGGAGGAGGTGGGATGGTGGAAAGGCGACGAGGTGGGATGACGGAATGGGGAGGAGGTGGGATGGCGGAAAGGGGAGGAGGTGGAATGGGGGAAAGGGGAGGAGGTGGGATGACGGAGTGGGGAGGAGGTGAGATGGCGCGAAGGCGAGGAGGTGAGATGGCGCCAAGGCGAGGACGTGGGATGGCGGAATCGGCGGGAAATCTGACGGCGCTTTAGGCGAGGAGACGTAATGGCGAGCTCCCGAGAAGCTGGAACTCCATGTCGCGAACGAGTAGGAACGCGCGGAGGTGGAAGCAAGAGGGATGGCGGACGTTTAGGAGGTGGGGGAATGGTGAAACGGGAGAGTAGGAGATTGGATAGAGACTGGAAGGGAAATATGTGGTGTCGAGCAGTGAAAGTCGAAGATTCCAGAGAAAATTGAATGGTCGAAGTTACATGAACACTTGTGATGGATTCGAGTGTATTTGTGAGATTTGCATGGACAGGCGAGCATGCGCCTTGCTTTCGCTGCGCGTTCAAGAGGGAGGTGTTTGGTTGGACTGAACGAAAGGGTGGTTGCTAATTTCATCCAATGCCAGATCGCCATGCGACGAGCCCCGACGCTTCAGTGCTCTGGACCGAACAACCTCGTTCACCCAATTTATTCCAACGGTAGATCACCAATGAAAGGCCACCACGCCAGAACCTCCGACAAACTTGGAACAGAGTATGAATCTGTCCAGTCCAGACAATCAGCGTGGATCGACTGCGACTGGTATGGATCATGAATCCAGAATAGCACCACTGCCGTTACAACACGTGGGATGTAAACAAGGTTGGGCACACACTATAGTTGAATAATGATTATGTACTGCTTACCTGTTACTGCCTCTATATTAACTCCTGGTTTATAAACATGTACTAAGGAAACCAACAGAATAGTACAATTAACTACGTCAACCTATAGTCAGATATATACACAGAAGTACTAACCTTTTGAGGACGACCATATCTATTCCATATTTTGTTGTAAACGCACCCGTCCTAAACTTACAAATATGTTGGTATTTACCGTCACATACAGTAAGATAAGCATCGATGATTTATCATGACTAGACAATTAGATCCCATAATCATGTAATCTCCGCAATACCATACAAAAAAAAAAACCTAACGAAGGGTTGAAAAGGATTGGCTTTTGAATTTAGCATTCATGATAGCGTCCAACGTAAGAGTTTTTATAAGTGTGACTACAATTTCTGTTACAAACACTAAATCCAGTTTTTATCAAAGCTTCTCAAACGCTCCAGACTAGTGGGAAATAACGCACCAACCTCTACGCGAAGCACAAGGCTGCCGAACCTGTTTTCTTCCAGCCAGGCTGCACCGGACCTGCCATTCACCCCTCGACCTGTGCGCATACGCGAAACAGGTTGACAGGGTGCATGACACGAAATTGAATTGGGCAGCTTTTCGAGTTTCGGCCAATCGCGGCTGACCAGCAATGCACTATCAATCGTCCTTCAACTCAACCTGCAGCCGCAATAAGGACGTGTATGATTTTTGAAAATGGCAAAGTTACATTTTTTGGTCGAATGTAGCATCTGAACTTGAGCCGAACAGTGTTCGACTTCCGTTGAACGTGAAGTTTGAACCGCGCGGGAGAATTTCAAGTAGGTCAAATCACACACCCAAGGTCGAATTTGAATGTTCGACCTTATAGGGGCTAAGCCGAGCCGCTCGTAGGAGATTTAGGTTACCAGGTATAATTTTGTAGACATCGCGCCACTTCGACTTACTGACTGCGAATTTTGATGAGGGTTACATTGCGTCGCAAAAGCTCGCAAAACATCGTTACTTGTCGTGCGTGCGCAAACCACACACGTTCGGTTCACTGTACGCGCCCACATTAATGCATTTACTCGAGGCGAGTTTGGAAAACTTAGGTCGAATTTGTCACCTCTTCTGAAGGAAAGTCTTTCGTCACAAAGTTTTCGCGAAATTAACGGAAAAAGTAACCAGACAAAATTTGACCTGATTTCTGAACCTAGAAAAAAATCATACACGTCCTAACACACAAGTACATCCCAACTTCCGATCAAGTTGATTTCGGAGGTTGGCTGTTCTCCGATGTATGTGTATTTCTGGTCGAGCATGAGCATATCCGACCTAGACCAGTTTTGGAAAAAAGCAGCAATTGATGGAATGCAACCACTTCTCGACCCTTCACGCCAGAGGAACATCTACAAGACCCTGCAGGCCATATTTGTTGGTTCACAGTTGAATTCGAAAGGTTTATTTTGGTACACAAAGGTCTAAAGCGGTGAAACTACAGAACCGCTCCGAACTGCGTTCTACCAAACCTGAACAATAGGATACCTCTGGTGGGGGGACAAAACCCTTGCGAAGGAGAGGCCCGATGTGGGGACCACCTTGCGTGGCAGAAGCACCCTGAGTCTCGGCTCTCGAGGCGCAAGTCTCCTCAGGCACCGATGAACCACCGGGGGTGGGGAACTGCATTCTTGATGGGACCACCAAACCAAACCCAAGAATGCCAGCAGAACGAGCGATGAAACCGAAGCCCAATCACGCACACGGCTTGCCTCGATATTCGCTCGGTCGCTCGGCCATCGATTCCGTTGCCCGACAAATGGTAGCTGCGCGCCGCATCGTGACGCAGCCCCAAGGCGACCCTCGCCGGCGGGCGCTGAGACAAACCCATCACATGGCATCATGGGACCCTCGCAGCCAGCAGCCACAGGCTCGGAGCTCCAGCGGAAATCGAGTGGAGGTCGAGTGGAGCGCACGAGTGCACTCGCTGCTCACCAGGACTTACTAGCTCTCTCGTCAACACCAGTTTGGCAAGTAGCCAGTGGTGCTCGCAACCCCGCACGGAGCGTCGGCCATGGCGCCGCGACTGCCGGTCGATAGTGGCGCCGCGCACCATTCGCACGCTGAGAGCGGAGGAGCACTTTCCGCCTCGGCGGGAAGCGACGGCGGTAAGGCGGAACTTTCGCCGCCGTCGCCGCTGTCGCCGCCAGCAAAAGGGGGCGACGGCGACGCAGCGGCGCTGTCACCAGCGCTTGTAACGAGCGGAGATGAGGGCAAGGCAAAGGCGGAATTATCGCGGCATTCTTTGGCGGACTGGTTGGCGGTGGTGCTGTGGATGGGGTGGTTGCACATCCTGCTCGCGCTGCTGCTGCTCATCGCGCTCACCTTCCCGCATCCCCTCGCCATCGCGCTGCTGCTGCTGCTCGCCACGCTCGCCGTCACGCCCGTCGACGTCGAGGGACCCCTCGCCCAGGCCTACCGCAGGTCCGCCTCCCGCCGCTCGCTCTCCGTTTCAGTTTGCGCTCGCTTTCTCTTTCGAGAAAGAGGCCTGGCTCGCCACTTTCTCCCCTTGCCAAGGCCTACAGAAGTCGGATGTTTCCGCGTCAATTCCGCGTTAGCTTGGTCGAAAACAATTAGGGCTCGCCTGGACGCATGCCGCTCAGAGTTCTGCTCGCGCGTCACATCTCCCCGCCTTGCCTGCTCACTCGCGATCCAAGCGTCGCCTCCTTTCCGCCTCGCTCCGGCTCCCCACGCGCTCACGTCAGCCCAGCCTCGCTCATACCTGCCAGCCTGAATCGCACTCGTCGCCATATCGCCTTCTCGTCCACCCTAGCCTGCTTTTACCGCCCATCTTTGCACATTCCCTTGCTGCGTGCTGCTTGCGTGTGTGCCTCGCCTCGCCCCTCGTCCCTTCGTCCCCTCGCCTCCCCCCAGGTGGATATACCCGGTAGTGCTGCGCCACTTCCCTGTGCGCATGCTCTTCCACGACCGCTCCACCGTCAGCTTCGGCAAGCCCTACGGTGAGAGCACTAAGGGCGTGTCCCATGAGTTCATTTGGGACAAAAAACATAAATTTTACGTAACTTCGACAAAGCAAAAGAGTGTACACTCTGACGTGAAAAACACGCAGCGCGTCAGCACAGCGCCAAACGAAATTGACCCACGCGGACTCATAGCCCCACCCACACGAGAATCGTAATTCGAACATGACCCGCGAGCGGTTACCCGCCACAGTGCGAAATAATAGTGCCCCGTGCGAAGTTCTATTTTATTTTCGCGCAACTGAATGTGCGCGAATTATCGGATTGGGGTAACGGAATGAAGGACCCGGTATGAGGTGATCTCACGTACCTCGTACGTGGGGTAGTACGAACCTCTTGACGCATGTCATGCAGGGGAGGGTTACAGGCTAAAAATAGGGTTACAACCCTTAACTTGAACTGCAAACGAACTCGTGGGACACGCCCTAAGGCAAGAGGGGTGAGGCGTGTTGGGGGTGCACGCGTGGTGGGGCGGGTAGCTGCCTGGTGTTTGTGGGGTTGAGTGGATAGCTGTGCACTTGCCGCTCTTGTGTGTGCCTATGTGCGTGTGCGCGTGTGCGTGCTGAGGTGACTGTCTATGTGGCAAGTAAACGAAATCTGTGAGGGAGGACGCATGCAGCAGGGATAAAAGAAAGGGGATTGGAGCCGAGGGCGTTCAGTCAGCATGCGCCGCTCTTACCCACTCCTTCGCTATCCCGCCTCCCCCTCCCCTTTCCCTCTTCCACTTTCCCCCTTCTCTTCCCCCACCTTTTTTCTCCTCCCCCGCCTCGCAGTGATAGCAGTGGAGCCGCACTCGGTGCTGCCGGTGGGGCTGGGCGCCTTCATGTGTCACCCGCTGGCAGCGGGGGGAGTGGCGGGCGCCACGAGCGCCATCTTCCGCGTGCCGCTGCTGCGCCAGTGCTGGCAGTGGGCGCGCCTCGCCCCCGCCACGCGGCCCCTGCTCTCCGCCGTGCTGCAGCGCGGCCGCCCCGTGATCCTCGTGCCGGGCGGCGTGCAGGAGTGCCTCTTCATGGCGCCCGGCAAGGAGGTGCGGGAGAGTGGGGTGTGGTGGAATGGGGTGTGGTGCGATGGCATGTGGCGGGATGGCGTGTGTGAATGGGCGTGCAGGAGTGCCTCTTCATGGCTCCGGGCAAGGAGGTGCGCGCCTCCTGCCCGTGTGTTGCTGGGATTGGCATTTGGGGGGATGGGGTGTGGCGGGATGGAGTGTGGCGGGATGGGGTGTGGCGGGATGGGGTGTGGTGGAATGGGGTGGTGCGGGATGGGATGTGGCGGAATGGGTTGTGTGGAGGGAAGGGGTGTGTGAATGCGCGTGCTCAGGGGAAAGTGCATGTGGGGTTGATACTCGTTCGTCCTGCTGTGTCATGCAAAATCCCCCATCCCCCTAATCCCGCTCCTCCCTTCCCCCTACTCCAATGGTCCAACCCCTTTCCTGCACCCCTCGCTCTTTGTCCTTCTCACCTTCCTCACCCCTTCCCATCCCTCTCCAATATCTTTCATGATATTGGGAAGGGGTCATAAGAGTATCGCCACACTCTTCACCTGCTCTCCAATCTATCTTCATGTCCCTCTCCCCTCCCTCTGCCGTCTTCCCGGTCCCTCCACACCCACCGACCCCCCTGCCTCCCCACTTCCTTCTTCCCCCGCGCACCCCCACAACCCACCGCCTCCCCCCGCCCCACACCTCCCCCCAGGTGGTGTTTATCCGCCAGCGCTTGGGCTTCATCCGCCTGGCACTGCACCACGGCGTGCCCGTGCTGCCCTGCTTCGCCTTCGGCCAGGTGCATGCAACGGGCAGTGGCCAGGGGCGGGCTCCGGGGGGTGGGGGACGGGGGCTGGTTGGGGGGACGGGGGGCTGGTAGCAGGGGATGGGGGGCTGGTAGCAGGGGATGGGGGGCTGGTAGCAGGGGATGGGGGGCTGGTAGCAGGGGATGGGGGGCTGGTAGCAGGGGACGGGTGGATGGGGCCAGGGGGTTGGGCGGTGGGCGGCGGGTGGGCAGTGGGCTTTGTTCCTTTGCGCGGCTGAAGCGAACACACTCTCCTCCTCCACACTCTGCCTTCCTCCTCATTCCTTGCTCGCTGCTCACCTCACCTCTGCCCTGCCAGAGCGAGCTTGTCTGCTCCACTCATTCTCCTCTTTCCATCTCTCTCCCTGCTCTTGGCTTCCGCACTTGGCCCCTTGTCGTCCATGGCTCGCCCTGCACTCCCCTCACACCGGAGCACATCCCGGGTGCCATGCTGGCACTTCTCCCCCTCATGGCTCCCCCCACACTCCCACTTCTCTCTCTCCGTCCCTCCCTCATGCCCCTCACTCGCCTCGCTTCGACCCTTCCAGTGCAAGCTTGTTCCCCCTCTCGACATCCCGTTCCCCCTATTGCCATCCCGTTCCCCCTATTGCCATCCCGTTCCCCCTATTGCCATCCCGTTCCCCCTATTGCCATCCCGTTCCCCCTATTGCCATCCCGTTCCCCCTATTGCCATCCCGTTCCCCCTATTGGCATGGTGCCATGTGCACACGCACCTCTACGCTCACTTCCCTCGTCTATCCTACAGCCGCTCATGCTCCACGCCATCCCCACCTCCTTCCTTCCCCCCCCCCTCCCTTCTCTTCCCCCCCTCTCTCCCCCTCCCCGCTCTCCCCCCTCTTCCCTTCCGCCATCCCTCAGACCAGTGCATACCGCTGGTGGAGGCCAGAGGGGGAGTGGTACCGGTGGGTGGCGCGGAGAATAGGGTTCGCGCCCATCCTCTTCTGGGGCATGTGGGGGTCGCCCATCCCCTTCCGCACGCCCCTCACCATCGTCATTGGAACGCCCATCGGCCAGGGTGACCCCGACCCCAACCCCTCAAAAGAAAGGGTACGTTTGAAACGCGTCTCAGGCACGGTGCTGAAGTGAAAATGGTGAAGTGAAAATGGTGAAGTGGAAATGGTGAAGTGGAAATGGTGAAGTGGCTGGGAGTGTGAGAGTTGTCTGTCGCTGATATAAGACGGACGCCGTGGGCACGACCTCCGAGGGTTGATTGATTGGCGTCTCATGCACGCCTGCACACCCGCACCCCTGCACGCCTGCACCCCTGCACGCCTGCACCCCTGCACGCCTGCACCCCTGCACGCCTGCACCCCTGCACCCTTGCACGCCTGCACCCCTGCACGCCTGCACGCCTGCACGCCCGCATGGGTGCATGGGTGCATGCCTGCGTGCCTGCATGCCTGCATGGGTGCATGGGTGCATGCCTGCATGGTCGTTGCTGTTGGCAAGCTGTGCCTTCTTCTCTGATCGCTGTCCTTCCTCGCATGCCTGCTTGGCTGCATGCATTTCCCTTCTCCTCATCCATCTGCGAGGTGCCACTGTCATTCACGCATCCATGCCATGCCATCCCATGGCCCTCGTGTCATGCCATCTCATGCCATGCCATCTAATCTCATTTCCCCCCTTGCCTCCAATCCCATGCCACGCCACTCCCCCCGTGCAGGTGGCAGCAGTGCATGCGGAGTACGTGAGGGCCTTCATGTCCACTCATATCCTCATCTCTCTGTATCCTCCCATCTCATACAATTCCATGCCATCCCATTCCATGCCACGCCACTCCCCCCGTGCAGGTGGCAGCGGTGCATGCGGAGTACGTGAGGGCGTTGGAGCGCCTCTTCCTAGACTACCGTGCACAGGCGGGCTACCCCACCACACAGCTGGAGATCATGTGATGCCATTGCTGCTGTACAGGCCGTATGGGGCCACGCAGGCCACGGCACAACCCAACGCACATGAAGCGCCGCGCTGGCGCTCATGTGCTCACGAGTCATGAGGCATCACCATATGCTCCTGTGTGCTGTTGCCACCAGCCACCCGCTGCAGTGGTCCCCCTTGGCACACCACACCACACACACAGCCAGGATTCCCACTGCCAGCAGCTCCTCTCACACTTGCTCCATTGGAAATTGGCTCATCCACTAGGCTATGCAAGGACTCCCCTGATTCCCATCACCAGTGCACAGCTCTCCAACCAGCTATGCCGTGCCCGCAAGTGGAAACTAGTTAGCCATGTTCGGTATGGGCTTCCGCTGTCTGGCAAGTTGGAACCAAAGTACGTGTTTGCACTTGCAGCTGCACTTAAATTAACCTCGCCACTGCAAATGCTCTTAGTAGTCTTTGCATCACTACTGCAGAGAGCACCACTACTGCAGAGAGCATCACTACTGCAGAGAGCATCACTACTGCAGAGAGCACCACTACTGCAGAGAGCATCACTACTGCAGAGAGTCACTAGTGCAGAGAGCATCATTACTGCAGAGAGCATCACTAGTGCAGAGAGCATGAACGGCCTAAGCAACATGAAGCATGTAACAGGGCGACTGGAAAGAGGAGGTCAGCGCTGTCCCTTGAAGTTTCTCTTGCTGCCCTGACGCTTCTTCTTGTGCCTCTTGCCGTGCGCTGCTCTTGACCCGCTTGCATCCTCGGCATCATGGGCCCCAGACGCACTGTGAGCATCAGCAGCACCATCGCAGCTGGCAGCAGGTGCCAGCAGGTGCCGTGCCTGCGAGTGGGCGGACACTGTGCCCACCTCCCATGCCAACCTGCCAGACGGGGGACGGGACGGGCGGGGGAACGTGGATTGATTCGTCAAATTTCAGAGAAGCACGGACCAGGCGTCACACGCCTGGTTTGCAAGCATGCGCGGGGTGATGGTGTGCATTTTGAAGCGGGTACCGAGACGTGCGGGTTGGTGCAGAGAGGAAAAAGAGGAAAAGGGGGAGGAAAAAGAGGGAGGGGAAGAAGGGGAGATGGGGGATTGAAGAGGAAGGTTGGGAGAAGATGGGAGGAGAGGGGGAAGGGTAGGGAAGAGGAGGAAAGGGAAAGAAGGGGAGGAAAGGAAGGGAGAGAAATAAAGATGCATGAGTGGGTAAAATGGGTCAAAGCATGAGTGGGTAACATGGGTGAATGCATGAGTGGGTAACATGGGTTTAGGGTTGAGTGGGTAACATGGGTGAATGCATGAGTGGGTAACATGGGTGAATGCATGAGTGGGTAACATGGGTGAATGCATGAGTGGGTAACATGGGTGAATGCATGAGTGGGTAACATGGGTGAATGCATGAGTGGGTAACATGGGTGAATGCATGAGTGGGTAACATGGGTGAATGCATGAGTGGGTAACATGGGTGAATGCATGAGGGGGTAACATGGGTGAATGCATGAGTGGGTAACATGGGTGAATGCATGAGTGGGTAACATGGGTGAATGCATGAGTGGGTAACATGTGAATGCATGAGTGGGTAACATGGGTGAATGCATGAGTGGGTAACATGGGTGAATGCATGAGTGGGTAACACTCATGCTTTTCTTCCAAGCTGAGCGTGGCTTCAATTCTCGAGCAGGCGACACCCACCAGTTGAGCAGAGCAATGAGCAGCAGAGTGAGCAGCAGCAGGAACACCACATGGTACAGCATCTCACTGCTGCCACCTTCCACCGCGCTGCCATTCTCACTGCCACTGCTGCCGGCACTGCTGCTGTCCCCTCCAGGTGGGCGGGAGTAACGGAGGGCAGCGGGCAGCAGGGCGGCGAAGGAGAGCAGCAGCCCCACCAGAATGACGTTCATGAGCACTAATGTGGGACGCTGGGGGCGAGGGAGGGATGGGGGGGAAGTCAGGTTGCCGTCAGAGAGGACGGGCAGACAGCAGAGTGGGGAAGGATCGCTGCGTGGGACGCTGAGAAAGGGGGAGCGGTGGGGAAGGGGGTGAGAACAGGTCGCCGTAAGGGAGGGTGGGTTCGTTGAGAGGGAGGAGAAGGGAGAGGGGGGAGTGACAAGGGGAGGGTGCCCTGCTTTCGAGATTTGAAGGGGAAATGCATTAGCAAGGGCGCGAGAAAGGAGCAACTCAAGGCAAAGTAAAGGACATTCGGGGCATCTGAAAACAGTGTGACTAAGGACGCGTCAACTCCTGCAAATTTCGGCGATCGATCCTGCGCAAGATCGAATTTTACCTGGGTTAGAGGAGGTTTTATTAAATGATGGAAGCAAATGTGGGGTTTAAGTGCGGTGGCCGGTCGATTTTGCAGGATCGATCGCCGATTTTAGCAGGAGTTGACGCGTCCTAAATATTATGACAAATCAGCAAAAACCAGGTATTGAACCTGACGTGAATCGAACACGCAACCTTCTGATCTGGAGTCAGACGCGCTACCATTGCGCCACAGATCCATGTACTAATTAATATTTAAACATTCCATTTAATAACCACTCCCATTTGTTAATGTCACAAGCCACGTCGTCACGTCAATCTCACGTTGAAGCCGGGAGTGATAGCGCCGATCGCCACAGCCGACAGCCACCCCATCCGCTCCTCGCCTGTTCCCCCCTGCTGCCGCAGCTCCTCCCCGCCTCCCATGCTGCCGCGCGTGCGACCGACGCCCCGCTGCTGTGTGACGCGGAACGAGCGATTGTTGCGTTGAGATCGCAAAAGGCGTGCGACAGGCGACCTGACGGCCTGAGAGGACGGCGATTCGCCGTGAGGAGGGTTATAGGGGCCACGTGGTATGAGGGAGGAGGGACGAGGGACGAGGAGCAGAAAGGAGGGGGGAGGGAGAACGGATAGAGAAGATGAACAGAGAGATGACGAACGAGAGACAAGGGGTACGTGCGACCAGGGTGCGAGAGAAACATCGCGACACCAGATTACCTAAAGCGAGCTCGTATTGATCGGAATTGATTTCAATGGCGATCGAGCGCGGACGGGCTCAACGAGAGCACGCATCCGACGATCGCGGAAATGGCGCGGCTAGAGTGACGCATCGGCGAGGCAGAGACACGCCGATCTGGGAATGATCGGCAAAGCCATATCAGTTCTAATGGCGAGGTGATGCCGAGCCGAGTCCGAGACGGAATGTGTGGAGCATGTGGTGGTGGGAACAGGCGATAACTTCGGTACTTTGTGGAGGATAAGTAAAACACTCATTATATGAAGCACATCGTTATCATACAACATGAGGTTCTTGTACAACTGCTTTATTCTGTATTACAAGTGAATGCTCTCTAGGCTACATGTTGTGTTGTCCACATGCTGCAGTGCAATGTTGACGTTCAAATCACACAGTAGATTGACCTGCAAATAGAAAGGGAGTACCGTAACACCACGTCACACATTGGGCACACAAGCATGCAGGCATGGCTATGTGAAACAGGCAAAAAGAAATTATATAAGAATAAAGATGTAATATGACACTACTAATTACGGTAGACTGTACCGTGATGTAGGGAGTTCCGATATTGTAGACGTCCACGTTAGCTCTCGCCTCTATTGCCAGCTGCAGGGGAAGAAGGCAGCAGAGCAAAGAGGCGAGAAGGGATGCTCAGAGAAACGAACAACAGAACGACAAGGAGCAAACTAGTGCGAGTTGGTGGCATTGTGTTGGTATGAAGGAAGGGATGGAAGGGATGGCTGCATCGCAATATGCGAGCACAAAGGGAGGAGGAGAGGGAGAGGGCATGCGAGCACAGAGATACGACGCAATGATGTCCTGGCGCAAGAGACCAGGTCACAGGGTTAACGAGTGAAAGCGGGGTGAACACGGGGTGAGACTGGAGAAAGATTAGCATGCATGCTGAGAAGAAATCAGCAGTAGAAGGGGGGAAGTGGCAGAATAGGGAGAGCGGGAGAGGGAGGGTAGGAGGGAATGAGGGAGGCAGGGATTTAGGGAGGGAGGGAGGGAGGGAGGGAGGGAGGGAGGGAGGGAGGGAGGGAGGGAGGGAGGGAGGGAGAGAGGGAGGGAGGGAGGGAGGGAGGGAGGGAGGGAGGGAGGGAGGGAGGGAGGGAGGGAGGGAGGGAGGGAGGAGGGAGGGAGGGAGGGAGGGAGGGAGGGAGGGAGGGAGGGAGGGAGGAGGGAGGGAGGGAGGAGGGAGGGAGGGAGGGAGGGAGGGAGGGAGGGAGGGAGGGAGGGAGGGAGGGAGGGAGGGAGGGAGGGAGGGGAGGGAGGGAGGCAGGGAGGGGGAGGGAGGGAGGGAGGGAGGCAGGGACAGGGAGGGGGGAGGGAGGGAGGGAGGGAGGGAGAGAGGGAGGGAGCGAAGGACGGAGAGATAGGGAGCACCTGTAGCGGAAGAGTGGATTGGGCAGAGAGGGCGTCACGGGAGAGAGCGTTGAGGTTGAGAGCGGCGAGGGGAGGGTGGCGGCAGGAGGTGGAGGGGCAGGCGGGTGAGGTGCACGTGGCCCTCCACTGTGGTGTTGCTGCGTGGTGGCTGGTGGAACGCCGGTATCTGGAGCACACGCATTGGGGCCAAGGTGGGTGGGGGGGACGGAGGGAACCTTATTAGAAGGTAGAACGCTGGGACGTGGTGCATTGCAATGGGCGCAGTAAGGTGGGGAGAGCAGGGATTTGTTTAGGAAGGAGAGATGATTGATTCAGGGCGGGAGGCATGTGGGTGGTAGGAGGGATGGGCCGAGTGGGATGTGGGGACGGGCAGCACCCACTCGCCAATCACAAACTCAAACTCCCGACTACCCTTCCATGCCACCCCCCACCCCCCCCACTGGCCACTGGCCACGCACCGAGGCATTGCCGACGTCGGAGCCGAGGTGGCGTGCGGTGATGGAGACATACTGGTACGAGATGCCCACGTGGTTGGCATTGCCCGCCACCACCGTCACGTTTAGCTCCGCGTCCAGCTCTGCCTCCCTTACTGCCAGCAGCCCAGCAGGGTCATGCCGCTTGGCGCGTGGATCGTCACGTTTGCGTTGGCGAGAAGTGGAGATGTTAGTAACGGGGATGAGGCGAGCGGGGTGAGGTATTTAGAGGTGGCGGCAGCGGCGGCGACAGCAGCAGGGGAGGCGGGGCGGGTGGAGTTGGCAGGGAGGGTGGCTTCAGCGGCGGCAGCTTTGACGGTAGCAGCGAGCTGAGCGGTGTTGAGAGTGAGGTTGGCAGGCAGTGGGGCAGTCAAGGAGGGCAGCGATATGTTTCCGGGCAGCGAAAGATTGCCGGGGAGAGACATGTTGCCAGGAAGGGGGGCGTTTCCAGGTATAGGAAGAGTGGGAGAGGGCAAGGAGGAGGGGGCGGCGGCTGGCAGCAGTGGTGGCTGTACCGGCCGGGAGGGCGGCAGCAGCGGCGTGAGTACGAGTTGTGTGATGGCGATGCCCCCCACTGAGAACTCGGGCGCCTGTAGGGGGAAGGTGGTGCATACACAAGGGCGATCACCACAAGCTCATCACCAGATGCGACCACCATCATGGTTCAATCCCCCCCTGAACCAGAAGCATTACGCATTGCGTGATCTGGACTGAATGTTCAGCTTGGGTAGAATATAACCACCGGATTATTTATGAAGCCATCTGTAGCCCTCGATGTGGGGATCGCGCTCTATTTTCATGCGCCTTGTTGTTTGCTTTAGGCCTCACGGGACCTTCGACGATTTGGTAGAAAATGCCCTGTGTCGATCCTCGTGACATATTGTGCCTGCTGGCGAATGAAACCAGCTACAAGGTTCCAAACCTTTGGCATAAATTATGCAGCGCTTTTTTTTTGTTTGGCAAAAGTCTGAGACCTGAAGATGCTTGCTTAAACCCAACACTTGCCATAGTAGGGCAAGGTAATCAGTTGGCACGCTGGCACGATTTTCCAGCGTATGGAAGATCTCACGTCGGCGCATGCTAGCTATCTGGTTATGAGGCAGTAATTTGGCTGGATTATCTATCAATAAAACCTGGCCTGTGCGTCCGAACTCAGTGAGTTTGAACTTGCTGCTGGAAGCTTGCACCATTCGTTTAGCCTGAGGCTATAATTGATTGGCTTGAAAAAACAGTGTCGCAGCTGCAGCGGGCAGACTTTCATATGCGGTTTTGCGTGCAGGTTTGCCAGCGCAAGATATGGAAGTTTGGCAATTTCACGGAGTGCCCACTTCTGCCGCCGCTTGGCGCACCAAGCGAGCCCTGCGGACCTCTAAAGCTACCAGGCTCCCCCCACCCACCCACCCATACACCCACGCACCCACCCACCCTGGGCCGGTACAGCACGAAGACGGAGACGGCGGCGGCGACGGCGACGGCGAGTAGCAGCAGCAGCACGCACAGCGAGCAGCACACCACGCGCCCGCACGTCCCCCCCGCCTTGCGCTGCGCCTGCTCCGCCTCCCCCTGCTGCAGCGGCGGGAGAGGCGGGCGGGGAGGGAGGGAGGGAGGGGAGGGATGGGAGGGAGGGAAGGGGGGGAAGAGAGGGGAGGGGGGGAAGAGAGCGGTGGGGGGGAAGAGAGCGGAGGGGGAAAGAGAGCGGAGGGGGGGAAGAGAGCGGAGGGGGGGAAGAGAGCGGAGGGGGGGAAGAGAGCGGAGGGGGAAAGAGAGCGGAGGGGGGGAAGAGAGCGGAGGGGGGGAAGAGAGCGGAGGGGGGGAAGAGAGCGGAGGGGGGAAAGAGAGCGGAGGGGGGGAAGCGAGCGGAGGGGGGAAGAGAGCGGAGGGGGGAAGAGAGCGGAGGCGACGAGGGCTGGGAAGTGAGCATATCGTGCCGCACGACCGCTGTCCTGCAATGGCGTCTGGGAAGGAGAGCAAAAAAAAACTCGACGACGGCGAGGTGATGCGCGTGTGGGGCAGGCAACGTGCGCGTGTGGGGCAGGCAACGTGCGCGTGTGGGGCAGGCAACGTGCGCGTGTGGGGCAGGCAACGTGCGCGTGTGGGGCAGGCAACGTGCGCGTGTGGGGCAGGCAACGTGCGCGTGTGGGGCAGGCAACGTGCGCGTGTGGGGCAGGCAACGTGCGCGTGTGGGGCAGGCAACGTGCGAGGGAGGGGAGGGTTTATGAAGGCGGCGAGGAGCGGCAGTGCAGGTTCATCCGGTACCGTGGGACACACGGGGATGGACGGACGGACGGACGGCCGAGAGACTGGGGTGGGAGACGGACAGCTGCTGCGAGGTTCCTCATGGCCGCCCTGCCAACGCGCATCGAGCAGCTAACGCGCATCGAGCACCTAACTCGTATCGAGCACCTAACGCGCATCGAGCAGCTAACGCGCTTCGGGCACCAAGCGCGCATCGAGCACCTAACGCGCATCGGGCACCAAGTGCGCATCGTGCACCTAACGCGCACCGAGCACCTAGCGCGCATCGAGCACCTAGCGCGCATCGAGCACCTAACGCGCATCGAGCACTAACGCGGACCTAACGCGCACCTAACGCTAGTAGCGCGCATCGAGCACCCAGCGTGGAGCGATTTTCTGCCGAACGCTCCTGGGAGGATGCGGCAGCATTTTCACCACGTCAGCGCATCCCGCTGATACCCCGCCCCTCCACCCGCCCACCCTGCCGCCCCTCTCAGCACGTCACCCGCCTCGCGTTCCTCCTAGCGCTGCTGCTAGACCCGCGCCTGCGCGCGGCTGCGCGTACCTTGGTCGGAGCATCCGAGCCGCCCGCTGCCTCGCCGGGAATGTCGACTCGCGAGTAACCGCCCATCGTGCGACGTAGCAAGAATTTGCGACGTCGTCACGCGCGTTGCGCGCTTCGAGCTGTTCTTCCCTCTCGCGACGAGCGAGGTCGCACCCGATAGGCACTAAACGGACGCACTTACGGAAGCTCGTCAGGCACGACTATGCTAACGGAAACGCACTTACGGAGCCCTGACTTGCGGTGTATTTTACTGCTGGAGAATTGTGAATTGTGCGGTGTAATAATAAAATGCAGCGAATGGCAAGGAGGGCAGGTTGTTCAACAACAGATCCAATTTTTTTGCCCCACCCACCACAGCAGCCACCCCCTACAACAGGGAGGTTGTGTCGAGAGAGGAGATATGCGACAGCTGGATATGTATGTCAAGCACGGTCTCTCGGTTGGTTGTGAAGTCGTAACTTTCGTGTGTGCGATTGTCGCAAACATAAAAACGGAATGTCGCTTGCTCGGACAGAGTGTCGCCAGGAAAGGTACACACGATGCCCGTTTGACTAACCCAAGGTCGCCTTACCAAGGGGGCTCTTAAGTGGTTCTTGCATTTCGCTAAGCTTTCGTCAATTCGCACTTAGCAAAAAGGGCTTTTAAAAGATTTTGTAACTCGCTGTTGACCGTTTGACATGGGTCTCTTCTGTCAAACTTCGGTTTTTGTGGTTCGTATTGCTCGAGGTGCTTGTAAATGGGGTGCAACTGGCTGGTACCCTAATACACGGGTGCAGAGTTTCCATCGCGGTCAGGCCAAATTTGCGTGCAGGGGTTGGGCATCTTGTGTAAATCATTGGCCGGAGTAGGGAGATTGGGCAGGCAGGTGTCACCACCGACAGGTTCTGCTGCCCGTTTCATTCCAATATCACATCTGCGCCTCGGCTGGTCCACCCCAGCCCAGCGAACATGTCGCCGCAAGTTACGAACCTCAGGCAAAATATGCATCGAAGAAGCTCACCAGTAAAAGCTATAGTTTTGGGTTGCTTGGTGGTGCAATGAATCTAAGAGCTATAATTGCACTAAGGTGTCAAACAAGTACAAAGTATGAGCGAAGGCATGAGCGAATACTTATACAAAAACATGCAAACGGTTTAAAGCGGTGGTGCGAGCTAGCTAGTGCGATACTGGCATCGAGGTTTGGGCTAGTCTCGAAGCGTCGTTCGACACGGCCGGGCCAGCGGTGTACGGCTTAATGAATAGTGCGTGCGAAGGTTGGCAAAGCCTCGTTAGCAGTAACGGGCAAACAACGGCTGCTGCTGTACGCCGTGTCGTACGCGGCAAGGAATGCTGAAAAATTCCTAACACTAACCCCCCCTGTTATGAGTTCTCAAACAGAGTTGCGCGGAATAACGAATAACGAGGCTGTGACTCAATGAACTGACGATACAATGAAAGGCATGCGATTATATAGCGAGACAACCTAGCTAGGCGGGAACCTCGGGAACGCGAGGTTGGGTGCAGGTTGGGCAATGGAAAGCCGAAGGCGACGCGAGGTTGCTTCGGCAGCAAGCAAAGCGGCCGAACGTGCACTTCCGAAAGTTGGGGTTGTACGCGGTTGAGTAAACCCCAGTAAGGAAAAGGGGTTTTTCCTTACCCCCCCCCCCCCCCCCCCCCCCCCCCCCCCCCCCCCCCCCCCCCCCCCCTCAAGAAGCCCCCTCCGCTACGCGAGTGCGTGTATATCGCGGATGTTAAAATCCATAAAGTCGCTAGAGTAGCGGAAATAATGTAGGAAGATAACGACGTCCCTGTGGCGGGGCAATTGGTCACTCAGAGGTAGCACTTCTGGCCTGGCACATGGTGCCATTGCAGCGGCCGAGAAAAAGCCGGACACAAGGATTCAATTTGTGTAATAAGAAGAATGCAATACATTCAGTTATATAGGAAACATAGCAGGCAGGCAGTTACCAAGGCGCAACTGTATTACAGTTGCGCTGTTTGTAACGCTTCAGTTGCCCTGTTACTGGCGAAACTGTTCAACTTCGGCAAGGGCGCGGTATTCTGCCACGCCCAGCAGGGCAATTTCGTGCACTGTAGACGATGCCTCCTCTTGAATCTGACCCTTCAGCTGCCACGCGGGGCGCAACCACTGTACGCGAAATGCGCCCCTGCAGCTCGATACTTGGGTCAACACCCTCGATATTGAGATCTTCGTTTCTGCACTTCGAACAGTGCACTGCATAAAAATATTGTGTC